TATATAAATTGAAACTACAACAAACTAATTTATCTTTATAGAAGCATTCCACCCAATTAATGAAGCAGAAATAACAGAATTATATTACTATTTTGCAAACTCTAAGGAACAAAAGGATGTAGACAATGATCATCCCTACCTGCTAACATCACAAAAAGAGAGAGAAACAGTAGTCTTGCTCACACTCCCCTAAATGAATTTGATCAAGATTCTAGGGTTTTAATTAGCAATTAACAAGTAAGACACAGGACAGAGGAGCTTATTAAACAACTATATAGGAATGCATCTGCAAATCCAGATGGTGGAAAACTCTACAGCATAAACGATCCAGTTTATTTGACAAATAAGAAAAAACAAATATAAGTTGATGGATTAATAGAGAAGAGACTTATCATCCAATTACAATGTATGGATCTTATATGTATTCTCTTTCAGGCAGTAAAAAGTACAAAAATTTATGAGACAACTGGAAAATTTTGAATATTAGGTTTGTATATTTAAGGATAATAAGAAAATACTGACTTTTTAGGTGTGGTTAATGCTTTAGATATGGTTCATTTTTCAGTTTAAAAGATCTTAATCTGTTAAGAATACCAACTGAAATATTAACAGATGAAATGATGTCCTGTCTGGGATTAGCTACAAAATCATTTGGAGTAGAGATGGGAAATGGAACAGAATGACAGAATAAATTGCCCATGAGATGACAATTGTTCAAGGTAAGTGTAGATATATGAAAGTCTATTACACTTTTCTCTCTACCTTTTTAATACATTCAAATTTTTACAGTAAAAAGTTAGATAAGTAGGCCAGGTGTGGTGGCTCCTGACTGCAATCCAAGCACTTCAGCAGGCCGAGAAGGGAAGATCCCTTGAAGCCAGAAGTTTTGAGACCAGCTCGGGTAATTCAAGACTCTTTCTCTACAAAAAAATTTTAAAAATAGCTGGCCATGGTGGTATTCACCTGTAGTCCAAGCTACTTGGGAGGCTGAGATAGGAGGATTGCTTGAGCCCAGGAGTTAGAGGTTGCAGTGAGCTATGATGACACTACTGCACTGTAGCCCAGGTAACAGAGTGAGACCCTGTTACCAAACAAACAAACAAAAAAATTAGATGAACTTAAAAATAAATAAATACACAATAAACTGAGGCAGTGTTTAAGGACTCTGAGGTCACAGTCCACGTTTCTGAATGAAAACAGTTTCTCAAGCATGCAAATATCTAAGACCTATTTACCAGGACATTGAAAACTGTGATTTTTGTGATTCCCTAAATGGAGGACCATGTTTTCTCCACTCAGAACACTGTATTCTGAGCAAGGACAGACCGTTTTTCTGAAAATGGATCCAGCAGTGTGAAAATGGTTGACTCCCCGGCTGAAGTTACCAAAAGGCATAAAAGGAGAACTACATATGGGGTCTACTAATGTGGTTGTTAGTGCTCCGTGTTTTTTAAATAAGGCTGGGTTTATGAGAAGTCTAATAGAACATGTAATTGCTACCCTTCCAAAACTATCCTCACAACAATAGCCCATACAATTCAGTTGTCCATTCCCAGTTTTCTTGTTTGCTTACCACTCTCAACACCAATTTGACCTCACACTTTTCAGTTTTTTGATTTTGGGGTAAGGAAGAGGGATCTTTGGAGATGTTAAAAAATTTGGCTGGGTGTGGTGGCTCATGCCTATAATGACAGTATTTGGGAGGTTGAGGTGGGAGGATAGCTTGGGGCCAGGAGTTTGAGACTAGCCTGGGCAATATAGTGAGACCCTTGTCTCTACAAAAACTTTAAAAGGTTAGCTGCATGTGGTGGCACAAGACTGTAGGGCTAGCTACTTGGGAGACTGAGGCAAGAGGATCACTTGAGTCTATGAGTTTGAGGTTACAGTGAGCTATGATCCTGCCACTGTACTCCAGCCTGGGCAACAGAGCAAAAACCTGTCTCTTAAGAAATATAATTTTTGAAGTTAAATAATTCATTAAAAACTATGTTTTACTCAGGTTTTAGTTGTTCTGCAGTAAGATGGATACTTGAGTAACTTAAACAAGTCTCCTCTCTCCTGTTATCCGAGTCCTATCCATTCAAAAGAAAATGTACAAGTCCAATAAATGGAGTTCCCAAAAGGATGAATGTTATTTTAAAAAATATTTCTCATGTTCTCTAGTCAATGTCCTCCAAATAACCATCATTCACGAAATGAGTTTGCTGATTTTTTAAATTTATGTAAATTTACATTTTAATATAATTTTATAAGTAATTATTCTGTCTATAATATTACCATATAGCATTATTATAAAAATATCATCGTGAATCTTCATGTTCACTCTCACTAAATGCCTGTAAAGGCCATGGGAGCATATTTAAACTCTGATGTGTGCTTTAGGAGCAGAATCACTATGGAGAAACAAGGCTACTGAGCATCGTTGTAGGCTGGTTATAGTTTTAGAGTTATTTGCAAAGGATATATTGCAAAAATTGTAACTGGACTTTTCAAAATATTTATCACCATATTTAGAACTTTCACTGAAGTATTTATCTTTTTGATGCAGTATTGTCTATAACGGCATTTTAAAAGTTGCTACTTCAGGCTTATAAAGCAATATTAAAATGTCTTTCCATCAACAATATTAAAAACATTAATCTCTGGGAAAATGTTACAAAGAAATTCCACTGCAATGATAATTCAAATATTAAAGGATATATAAAAAATGATATTGTATGAGTGACTACCAAAGAATTAGAAAATCTTTGCAAGAGGATACTTTAGTCGCTGATGAAAGCAAAATACTGCTCTGAAATTTAACCTATCACCTGACAATATTTCTTTAAATTCTGCTAAATTCATTCTTTAAATTTTAGTTAGGGTCAATGGTAGTTGATATATAGATAAGAAATAACTGATTATATTAATTCTATATATATTTGAATCTCTCTACATTTCTAAATGGTCTAGACTACAAATATGTTCAAAATGGGTGGCACTAGTTATATGTGGCCTATGTAAATTTTAATTAATTGAATTTGTAAAATTCAAAATTCAGTTTTTCTGTTGCACTAGCCCCATTCAAGTGCTCAATAACCACATATGGCTCATGGTTACCATATTGGACAGTACAGATAAAGAACATGTCCATCATTACAGAAAGTTCTACTGATCAATATTGGTCTACATTAGAGAGGCTACTACTGAGGAATGAAATATCTCAAATGCATATATGTATATGTATATATATATATACATATATATATCAGTTTATTCCTATAAAGTCATTTTCCTTGTGGTACAGAAAATTCCATTAAATCTATCAAATCTAAATGGTTTTTCTGAAAAAAATCTATATTCTAATGTAAATAGTTAAAATTGTGCCACAAGCATTGCAGTGTAAATTTTCATTTTCTTCTCATTAAAGAAGAATGAATTTCAGAAAGACTCCATTTCTTCATGACAGCAAATTATAATATTAGCCAGTCTTCCCTTTAAATTAATGTTTTCTTTCTTTATAAAGATATGTTCTAACCCTTCTCCGTTTCCAACTTTACTGAGCAATAGCCCAACCTTTTTTGCATCAAGGAATTCCTATTTTAGAGGGTAGACATTCAGGCCTCAAACTCTACACTTGTGAAGTTCGTAACTAACATAAAAAGCTAACTTCCTAGCCAGGTCCTCCTGTTGAGTAGGGAGGATTTTACACCCTTCCAAAGTTTCAACAAACTTCTTAGTCAAATACAACTTCTCATCTCTCAATTCGGAAAGATGCATTTTGTAACATACATAAAAAGACAGAAATATGGAAATGCATAAACAGTACAATTTGACACAGGTATGTAATAAAGGAAAATTCTCCTGCAGTTAGATATTGAACATGAAGGGTCTTTCTAATTCATCAGAATAACTGAGTGAGATCATCTCCATCCACCATTTTTGCTTAGTAAGGAACCATGCTGCAGAGGAAAAGCAGAAATACACAGGTAACAAAAGTAAATGAAAATAATAAGAACAACTCCCAAAACACAGATCTAAACTAGCTGCATTTAAACGCACTTCAGAAAGCCTCAGTGAAAAGTATTACGTCTGTATTTAAAAGACTAGATAAATCATATAGCTGATCTAGAAGGTTAAAAAAAAGTCTATAATCACATGAGTATATAGAAAATGTTAAAGTATTTTCATGGAAAGTATATAAACAATAATGGATAGCATCGAAAACAATCTGATTTTAAAAAAGCACAAATATGAAAAATAATAAAGTCAAGTGTAAGGAAATACTTAGTAGGAATTTCAAATATTTTAGGAATGTATCTCTCCAGGGTAGGATGTTGTTTGGAAACCAGATTTCCATAGATTTCATAGCTGCTGAAAATGAACTAAATTTTTGAAATTGTCACAAAAATGTATATTAGTTTGGGGGCAAAACAAAAAAACAAAGAAGGAAAATAATGTGCCAACTTCCCAATCCTTTCTCCAAATTTTTGCATCTTGTTAATTACACTTACTTTCGAGATTCTTTACTCAGTTTAAATATGTAACCTCATTTCTTTGCTCACTCCCCAAGCAAGCCTCAAGCCAAATAAATTGCTATAAGTGTTTACCAATAAAATATTATTTTCCAAGGAATTTTTTCTTCATTTTGAAATTTAACAACTTTTACAACAATTAGGAAACTACTCCTGGCACAAGGTCTCTGAAACATTGTTTGTCAGACACTAATGGGTCTTGGAAAAGTTTGAAACTCTCAATTCATTAGGACTTTGAGTAGCTGTTTTGTAACTAAGAATGAGAACTGATGGAGAGATTGGGACTAAACACATAATTTTATGAAATATGATGAAAACATGAGGGTTTTGTTATGACGCACATAACAATCAAGAACCTGTTTCTTTTTAGCAAGCTCCTAAAAAGTACCTCCCGTGTAATTATTAAATAAAAACACTCACTTATTCAGTCCTCAGCTAGCTTTTAAACTCTGAATAAGAGAAGTACACAGTGAGAGAGGTACTTACATGGTTTCCTTGGATACTGGATGATGCCATTCAGGTCTATGTTTTTATCTGAAAGTGGTGCCCTGCAGAGAAATGAGGCTTGGTGAGTGGCTGTTTATACATAGTAAGTAAATAGGAACTTTGTTTATTTTACAAAACATTTTTTATTTTGACCCAGATTTCTTTTTCTCATCTCACCCATCCCTTGTAAACAGCAATAATATGGTAGAATAGGTACTCTCCACAACTCCTTTTAACTCCACTTAACAAATCATAATTATTAAGGCAGAAGCTCAGAATCCTTTGGTTAAGCATGTTACTCCTGGGCTGCTTTACATATCTTGACTATTATATTTAGACCTATCAGTGAACACTGCCTATCTCTCTATTTTCCTTCAAAGGAAATTTTTCTCAAGCCATTGATAAAGAAATTAGTCCAAAAAGTTCACATACATGACAAATGTCCTTTCGTTAACCAAAGAGTAAGAGAACTCAAGCTTTAACCAGCTTCTACACATCCAGGGTTTTCACAGACATTAGCTGCCCTTTTAAATGTCGCAGTAGCACCCCAAATTCCCAATAGTTTTAGTGTTATGAGCATACAATTTTGACATTCAGTCCCTCAGAACTACATACTTTCTAATTTTGGTAGCATGATTAATCCCTCCTATGTGATAAGTTTTAACCTTCTAATATTTCTTTGAATCGAAGAGAACAAATGAGTTACAGCAAAGAATGGCAACTAACTTTAATGCTTAACCCAATTTAATAGCCTGAAATGAAATGTGTGCTCTGTCTCCATTAAAAAGTTTCCAGCCACAATTAATTGAACGAAAACTTATCGTGTTCCAAGATTATTCTTGGAAATGAAATTTTAAAATCTGCTTGAAATGAGGAAACTTACTTTTTTATACCATATGAAAGCAATTTCATTTTTTAGGAATGATTTTTGGATAGACTTCCGATTGGATATTTTCCATTGGAACTAGCAGCATAGGAGGTCGGGAGGGGTGAGGGGAGGAAAGTAATTCTGTGTTCTTTTGCCAGCACTGACAAAGGTCTGCTTGTCAGTGATACCTTTACAGCTAAATTTACTCCAGAGTGACAGGAACAGGTGCACCTCGGCCTGCCAGACACTTGTGCAGAGGGATCACGCATCTCACGGCTTGACGATCAAGGGGGCAAAGCCTCGGTCTTCATAGAAAAGGAGAGGAGGCAAACGCAGCCCAAACTGGGGGGTTTCTCTTCAAAGCCAGCTGGTCTGGCTTTATTCTACAGGAATTTTTTTACCTGTTGGAGTTTGGACAACAAAGCCCTCAGCAGGTGCTGACGGGTACAACTTCCTGGAGAAGCAGAAAGGCACTGGTGAGTTTCAATTGCCAAAATATATTTTTTAATCTTTAAAAGTTCACTTTCTTATCTTGGAAGAGGCACCACTGAGGTACCTACGTTCACAAAGTTGATGAGACCATTGGAATCAGAGACAACTAACTCAACAGTGGGTTTGCCTGGTGTAGAAGTAGACCTGTTACCACTTAGCAATTTTTTAGATTTTTTTTAACTTTTGAAAAGAAATAATTTATATTTTTATTATTGCTCTCTTTCATTACTGTCTTCAACCTCTGAAAGATGAAGAATTAATTATATATATAATATTAGTCTATTTAAATAAATAGCATTTTAGTCTCTTTTTTATCTAATTCTGTCATAATCTTTTCTGAATAAAATGTTATTTTCTAATAAATCTCCAAAATAAAAAGGTGCGATTGTACATGCTCTTTTTAAAAAATTACATATGCTGGGTTTTTTTTCAAATGTGTGCATGTTATAGGGATATGATTAGAGGGAATATGGAATTAACTTTATTTTAATATATATTTAAAACATAGTGCATATTTAATAATTAAATAATAGTTATATATTATTGAATAATTAAAAGTGGTAATATTTTCTCATTACTTTATAGAGTTTCTTTAGAGAAAATTCTTTGGAATAAACAACCAAGACATTACTAAAGCATGTTTTTACGTCATTGATTTCCAAAATTAGTACATTTATATATTTAGTATTTTTATTTTGTGAATTCAAAAGTTTAAGCAAAAATATTTTTTTTCAGAATAGGATTTTAATTAATGCAAAACATAGAAAAATGAGACCACATGTTAAGACATATTTTTAAAAAGTGATTCTATTTCAAGGACTCATTCTTTTAACTATGCTTCACAGCATTTCTCCACAAATTGTTGTATTATAGCAAATTGAAAACATTTATTTAAGCATCTAAGCAGCTCAAAGCTAGAGACTATACATAGTAAACATATGAAACCATTTTAATAACCAAATTCCACATTCACAAGCAACATGAGCTAATGAATTTAAAAGATACAACAGCATACATTGATCAAGAATGCTATAAATTATTACGCATAAAATCAATTTTCTGGGCTGTGGGGGGTAAACTTGATACTTAAGAAGGGAAAGGCTCCTACCAATATAAATTACTAATACTATGAGGCAATTGTTTTATTATGATCACCCCATAAATAATTTTCAATCTACATGCTTAATACATGGTTCTATAGTGGGAAAAAAATAAGATCTGACTTTTTTTAATGACCACTGCACCTAAAGCATTTTTTAAACAGATGACAACATGAATATGAAACAAATTTGTACAAAACTCTTTTAAAATGGCTTGATTGCTATTTAAAAGCTTGAAATATTTGTGGTTTAAAAAATATCAGAAATTATCTATCTAATCAAAATATCTAATATTTTTAAAACATAATCTTATCTACAAACATTTTAATGAATCCATATTTTTAAAAATTAAAACTCAAATGTACATTTTAGTATAAATTATTACATGTAGAATACACTTTAGATAATTAAAACATTTTTAGAAATATATATTTGTTGTGGTTTTAAACTGCTATTTTCATATGATATTTTACATTGCTTCACTATATTGATTCAGACACTTAAGTAACTATAGACACTGAATATTTTAAACAACTTCATTAGTCTCTTAAAGAATGAGTATGTACTCTATGCACTTAATAATTTTATTTTTATTTTTCTAGTCTGTTAAATACTATATCCTAAAGAATCAGAGCCCTTGCTTTTAAAGATGATGGCTAATTACTACAAAACTGAACAACACACACTCTTAGGTCAACTTCAGAATTATAGTTGTTAGGTTTTCATGTTAAGTTGTATAGTTTCATACTACTGGCTATAATTATTATATCATTTGTCATTAACATTAAATATAAGTAATCCAAAAGCTTCTGCCAAATTATGATTCATGACTCTGTCAATTATTTAAGTGTAACTGAATCTATCAGAAACAATGTTATATAGAGCCCAAATATTTCAAAATAACCTAAATTTATCATTTTAACTATGTCTTGAATGGGGAATTTAGTCTAAAATCCCATGATTTTTTCTTTTAATTATGAGAACAAGCCGTTAACTCTTATTTGACATGCAGCTATATGTTTGTCCTTTCTAATAAATCTTCAACATTGTGTCACGAAAATACCTATGCCAAATCCCTCAATGTATGGGAATGGTTTCTTTTAATAAGTCTTGTAAGATAATGTGACTTAAAGTAGCATTGACTCATACCTGCCCTAAGATTTTAATTTTAAAACATATGCATTTTAAGTATTTTTTGCAATATATCTTCATATCTTAAAGACAGCTTATATATAGCGGAGAAAAATCAATCATTCTCCTGTTTCAGAAATACACTTGAAAAACATTTTTTTTTTTTTACCTTATATATCTATAGAGAAAATCTTCATTCTTCCGGCATTAACTTCAATTAATTATATTGTGAATATCAACCTATTTAATTTCAATGCAATAAAGTTCCCAGCTAAAATGGTTTACTTGTAAGTATTTAAAGCAACAAAAATACTTTGGCAGCTTTATATGTATCTCCTCATTGACCAACCACCTGACTGACAGCTGTCAACTGTCCGTGAGCCAAATGTAACCCAGTAAAGATAAAAATTACATATTACTCATCCCTGTTGATAATACCTGGTGCCAGTAGGTTTTCAAATAGGAATAACTAGATTGTAGATAAAAAATAAGTGGGAAATCACTTCTGCTGCCTACCATTCCTCCTTTGTTGTTAACTCATTTCCTCTTCCTTTTCTTATTGATCCTGTTTTACTAGATGTCAATATCTTTCATATGCAGAGAGTTAATTTCCATAAAGGCACTTCCATAGTAAGTAACACGTCTGTAGCCATGAAAGTACTGGGCAGCCAATTAATGATGCCCACATAGTTCTTTCAATCATGTCTTATTTGAGCTTATAAAATCTTCAAGAGTACGGAACGAGGCTTTGAAGTTTTCAACTTCAAATTTTTAAAGAAAATGAAACGAAAGACCAAAAATGAAAGACCCAAGCTCACTAGGGTGGGCTGTATATGTAGACTTGAGGTATGTCTCGCAACTTCCTATCCAGTGATTTTTTTTCTATTAGACTTTAAACATCTGCACTGTCAAACTATAAGTAAAAAATGATCACATGGAAAAACAATGTGAATTACATCCCTTTGGAGAAAGCTTTTCAGTCATCAAACTTAATATCTTATTAGAGAAATACACATTTCTGTCAGAGCATATTAAAATGTAGTTCTGAAACAATAAAGAGCATAAACACATTAAAACATCTATGGTACAAACTCATTTTTAGATTCTCTTTACCATTGAAATGGATTTACAAACTGGAAATATTTATGATTACATATGCAATAGCAGAAATAAAAAATAATCAATGGCAATATATATGTTTAGAAGATAAATGTAGAAATTAAAAACACAAATTGGAATTTTGTTTGAAAGATCAGGAGCTAATTTAAAAATACTAAATATAAACACATAAGCATATGCCTATACTCAAGTGCAGAATATAATAAACAGTTCATATAACTAAACTAACTAGCTTTCATGCGTGTGTACATGTGTGTCTGTGTTCATTATCAAACCCTACTGGATCCCAGAGGAATCCTCAGCAAGTGTTTCCTAACAGCTCAGAAATTCTACCATTCAATAATCCTATATTAATATAAATAAATTAATTTAAGTACTTATTAAGCATATTAATAAATATGAATATTGAATTTTATAATATTTATAAAATATTGTATATTTATACAATATACTGATTCAGTTAAGGTCATGAAAATATTAATATTCAAAACAAATACTTATCTTCTGGCCCTTTAGAAAAGAAATTGTTTAGTTGAAATCTATTACATTCTGAATTTAAAAGAATTTATCTTAGTTCTGGACTTTGGAGAGAGTACTTACTTATGAGAAGTACTTGCTTTAAAACACAGACATGCACATTAATAAGAAAAAAAAGAAGGGGAAAACTTAAAACATTGATTTGGGACATGGAAGGAAATTATGGCCAGGGTTTCCCTGCAAGGGAACTAGTCTAAAGTAATCAACAGTTCTGTGACTAACACCATTTAGCAACTAAATTGTATATCTATATTTACAAATGTATTTGCTTACTCCATTACATTTAGGCCAAATCAGCATTAGCCATCAATCAGCAAACCATTTTAAAATATGCAATTATAGTATGCAAATCAATTGCAGGCAAAATAATAAGTAAGTAGTATCATTTCTAGCAATTGTAAAAGACATGGTTGTCAAAGCAAAATGGGCAAAATCACAAGACTTTCAAGTAAGTTCAATCATTGCCCTGCATGTCAAAGGGATCTTAGTCCCTGGTCTGCTTTCAAAAGATCAATGTTTTCTCATTAGAGCTGAAGGGTTCTGTCCACAGAGCACCAGAGTAGAAGTAGGAAGATCGCAGACTGCTAAGTAACTTGTCTGAAAACAAGTTACTTAACCTCTGTGAGCGTACTGATTGGATGGGACTTTTTGCTCAGTAACGTACAACTCATAGAAAAGGAAATTTTAGTTATCCAATGGAAGGTATTTTCTGTTG